CGCGTACCCCAGGTTGAATACCACTGGTTTAGAGTATTTAGGAAACGCCTGATATGAAAATGTGCGTTTGTTAATATAAATTCATATTAATTGTTATAGTGTTTCTGATCTTTCGTAAGATCGTTCATTAGGAGTGAATATTTGTTGATGAAATGTCCAAAATGTCTGTCTAGAGGTGGACCTGCCCGTAACCGCTCCGTCAGTATTATTTACACGAAGGACAGGACTTGGCAGTTCGGTTCGAAATTTGAAAGAATCGCCGAGGCTTCAAATAATTTTCTTCCGCGGATTACATGTTTTATCTGTTGGTGTGGAAATTCGTGGTAGAATTTGGCTTTTCTGTTCCTCTAACAGTCTTGTTGATGATAATGAAGTGTGGTTATGGGCCGGGTTTCTAAATCGTTCTGTATCTTAGTTGTAACCCAGTGAAGTATTGCATCTTCAACAGACGACGTGCTCGGGTTGACTCTGAAAACGATTTCTGCTGTTCTCGAATAGGCGATGGTGGAGACAAGTGATCCAATTCAGTTCGGGCGCTGTCATAACTAGCGGATTACCTGTCGAGAATTACGTAAAGCGGTAACCACAGTCATAAATATTATCCCACGAGGCCCATAATCCCGTAACAGCGTTACGATGAAGGTTATACTGACACGCAGTGCAAATAGTAGTTTAAACTCGGATGGTCTTAAGTATTCTTCAATAAGGTCCAGAGTCCCTTAACAGCAAATGATCACCAATCGTTTGCTTACACAGGTACTGATTCAACACAGTGCAGTCCATTTTAGGCTTTAAAGATTTCTGGATATCGAGTGAGACACGTAGGAACGAGAAAAGAGTAGTGTATGAAGAAAATTGTTGTGATTGGTTGAAACGGCGTTTGTTGGTGGGGGGGGCTCGTAATTTTATTAGACCCCTCCCCCCCAAATCACCTCTTGATATCTCGAAGTTTAAAACTTGGAATTTTGGACAACTCAGCGTTTGCTTGAAGACTGGGGAAAACCAAGAAAAGCTGTTACGAGATGGCCGGTTGCCAGGGGCCTCCCAGATACTATCCAGCAGTCCGGCAAAAAAAGACGCGGAAGATAATGCGGTCTTTGTAGTAGAAAACATTTACCAGAGGGTGTCATGAATGGTCGAATTCTCTTAACACGTAATCAGTGTATATCGGAGCTTCTCATGCAAAAAACTAGGGGAGGGGTAGTTGAAGCTTCCACTCTTTGTTTCTGCACGATGACGTCATTCGCGTTTGTTACTGTGAGAGTTGGGTGTGGGGGGGCGTTGGTTTTAGGACGGTTCAGGACTTTACTCTGGATGTCACGTGTGTGATAAGCGAGTAACTTCGTTGGGTTGTTAAAATTTGATGTCGAGGAATTATGGGCGTTGTTACTACGTGATTATTAATTCGTGGTCTGCTGTGTACACAACACAGCACAGTTATGATTTGTAATTATTGATTTTTTACGATACAAATATTTTTTTCGATTTCCTGAGGGTTCCTATTTATTGGGGTAAAAGTGTTAACAGAAGTTCTAGATAACTGTTGGACCGTTTCTTATCCATTTCTTTTTATTGAAGAGCCTCGCTAGTTCGTACCACGTGTTTTAAGCTTTTGTAAGAAAGGACCGGATGATTTCATTCACGAGTTTAGTAGACATTAACAGTGAACACGCCAGAATTATTCTATGTACACATTTTCTTTTTTCATTGTCATGTGTTTTTGTGGGACTGCATTGTTTATTAAGGGAAGAGACATATTACGTTGAAATAGAATTTAAAAGAGTATCTTCACATTCTAAATATAAATTGGCACTGAATGTTTAAAGCAATATCTAGAAACTAAAAAAAATACGTGGAAACAGTTGCACTTACCTTGATTTAATTTTGTGCTGAAATGAAGATCGGGCCTACGCTAGATTCTGCACTGCAAGCACAGAATTCATGTTTTAAATTAGACATCATAAAAAAAAGGTAAGGTAAAAGTAGTAAGGAAAATGTATTTCAAGGTTTGCATGGTGCCTGCTAAGTTGCAAGATGAAGAAGAGTGGGTAATCATATGTTTCAGGGAGAATTTAAACCTCGGTCGTCTCATTTTGTGAGGCAATGTTGTTAACTGAGTTACAGGACAATCGCGTTCTTTATTAAACTGTCTGAATTTCAATGCAAGAGTGAAGTAAGGAACCTTTTATCCTCCCCTCATGAAGTGCATATCACAGTGCAA